AACACTATCATAGCTGGGGACTTAAACACCCAACAACCCTAGACAGATCATCAAGATAAAAAGCCACAAGGAGATCTGGAACCTCAATGTGATATTTGACCAAATGAATTTAATTGATACTTACAGAACACTCTACCCAACAGCCACAGAATATACATTCTACTTGTCACCACATGGAATATACTCTAAGATCAATCAAATCCTCATCCATAAATCAAGAATAAACAAATTCCATAAGATTGAAATTCTGCCATGTACCTTCTCAGACCACAGGGGAATAAAAATAAATATCAGCACCAACAAACTTCCCCCCAAAGCCACAAAGACATGGAAACTAAACATCATGATGCTGAACAACTCCTGGGTCAACACAGAAATCAAAACAGAGACCAAAAGATGCCTGGAAACAAATGAAAACAGGAAACATCTTACCAAAATGTATCTTGCCATGAAATCAGTACTAAGAGGGGAATTCATACCTTTATGAACACACATGAAGAAAATGAAAAGATCACAATTTAACAGCCTAACAAATCACCTTAGGAAGCTGAAAAAGCAAGATCACCAAAACCCTAACTTTAGCAGAAGAATCCAGATCACCAAAATAAAAGCCCAAAATCGGGGCATAGAAGACCAAAAAAACCAAAAAAAAAAACAATGAAACCAAAAGCTGTTTTTTGAAAGGAGAAACAAGATTGATAAATTGATAGACTCCTAACTAGACTGACCAAGAAAAAGAGAGGAAAAGCCCAAATAAACACAATCAGAAATGCAAAATATGAAGTCACGACTAACCCTGAAGAAAAACAAAGATTATCTAAGATTGCTGTGTACATCTGTATGGAAACACACTCAAAAACCTAAATGAAATGGAGGACTTTCTGTAATCACACAACCTCCCCAGGTTGAAGGAAAAAGCAATGGAGACCCTATATAGATCAAAAGCAACCCAGAAAATCAACTATGTCATAAGAAAACTACCTACAAAAAAAAAGCCTGGACCAGATGGCTTTCCAACAGAATTCTAAAAAACATACAAGGAGGAGCTAATACCAATCCTATTGAAAGTATTCCAGGCAATCAAGAAAGACAGAACTCTTCTCAAATCATTTTATGAAGCTAACATCACACTGATACCCAAACCAGGTAAAGATCCAACAAAGAAAGAGAACTACAGGTAAATAAATATCCTTGATGAACATAGATGCTAAAATTCTCAACAAGATTTTAGCAAACTGCATGCAACAACACATCTCAAAAATTATCCACCATGACCAAGTAGGCTTTATCACCAGGAAGCAGGACTGGTGGTTCAACATGCACAAGACCATAAATGTAATTAAGTACATCAACAGATGTAAAGACAAAAACCACATGATTACACCATTAGATGCAGAAAAAGCTTTTGATAAATCCAGCACCCTTTCTTGATTAAAAACCCTTGAGCATCTAACCATAGACAGAACATATCTCAAAATAGTAAGAGCCATCTATGATAAACCCAAGCCAACATACTGTTAAACATACAGAAATTGGAACAATTTCCCCTGAAAACTGGAACAAGACAAGGCTGCCTACTCTCACCCCTCCTGTTCAACATAGTATTAGAAGTCCTAGCTAGAGAAATCAGACAAGAGAATTAAATCAGCGTATCCAAATGGGAAAAGACAAAGTTAAGTTAACCCTCTTTGCAGACAACATGATTCTACATCTCGAAAACCCAAGAGAATGTCAAAAACCTCCTTGCACTGATTAAGGACTTTGGCAAAGTCTCAGGGTATAAGATAAATGTGCAAAAGTCAGTCAGCTTCCTATATACCAACAGTAAACAAACCAAAACCCAAACAAAACGTACAATCCCATTCATAATAGCCACCAAAAAAAGAAATAACTTGGCATCATGCTAACCAGAGAAGTCAAAGACCTTTACAATGAAAACAGAAACACTGCTCAAAGAAATCAAAGATCACACAAACAAATGGAAAAATATTCCATGTTCCTGGATAGGAAGAATCAACATTGTTAAGATGTTCATCCTATCCATGGCAATCTACAGATTTAGCATAATACCCATTAAATTGCCAGCAGCATTCTTCTGAGATTTGGAAATGACAATACAGGAATACATATGGAAACATAAAAGATCACGAATAGCCAAAACAATCCTCAGCAAAAAATAAAAAATAAAAAAAGCGGAAGAAATCATGCTCCCAGACTTTAGCTTTATTATAAAGCTACAATAATCAAAACAGCCTGGTATTATTACAAGAACAGGCATATTGACCTATGGAACAGGGTAGAGATTCCAGAAGCAATTTCTCAACCAGTTCATCTTTGACAAAGCCTCCACCATCAACCACTGGGGAGAGGAGAACCTATTCCGTAAACGGTGCTGGGAAAACTGGCTGACCACATGCAGAAGATTAAAACAAGACCCCTTCCTATTACCATACACAAACATCAACTCTAAATGGATCAAAGACCTAATGTAAAACCTCAAACTATAAGAACCTTAGAAAATGCAGGAGACACCCTTATGGAAATTGGAACTGGCAAACAGTTCCTGATCAAAACCCCAAGTGCCCATGCCATAAGAGATAAGACAAGACAAGTGGGACCTCATCAAATGGACAAGCTTCTGCAAAGCCAAAGAAACCATCGAGCGAGTAGGGAGACAGCTCACATAATGGGAAAAAATATTTTCCTACTGTATCCAATGAAGGCCTAACATCTAGATTCTACAAGGAACTCAAATGTGCCAAAGAAAAAAACAAACAGCCCCATTACAAAGTGGGTAAAAGACATGAATAAACACTTCTCAAAAGAAGACATACCAGCAGCCAACAGATACATGAAAAAATGCTCAGCCTCATTAGTCATCAAAGAAATGCAAATTAAAACCACACTGAGATACCACCTAACTCCAGTCAGGATGGTCATTATCAATAACTCAAAAAACAACAGATGCTGGAGAGGATGCGAAAAGGGAACACTTCATCGTTGGTGGGAGTGTAAACTAGTACAACCTCTGTGGAAAACAGTGTGGTGATTCCTAAAGGATCTAAAAATCAACCTCCCATTTGACTCCGCAATCCCCCTACTGGCAATACACTCAGAGGAACTCAAATCATTCCATGAAAAAGATACCTGCACATGTATGTTTATTGTAGCATTGTTCACAATAGCAAAAACATGGAATCAACCTTGCTGCTCATTGAAAGAGGACTGGATTTTAAAAAATGTAGTACATATACATGATCAGTATTATGCAACCATAAAGAAGGACAAAATTAAGAACTGCAGCAACTTGGATGGACTTAGAGGCTATCACAGAAACAAAGAACTGAGTATCACATGTTCTCACTCATAAGCCGGCCCTTGAACAACTATCATAATACTATCAGAAAGGGATTGCAGTAGTGGGAAACTGCCAGGGGTTTGTGGGGGCAGGATTGGTAGTAGTAGGAAACTGCCAGGCATGGGAGGGGCACGCTTAATCAACAAAGGTACCTGCATAATCAACATTTGTATGCCTAATCCTGAATTGTATCCCACATATTGAAAATTAAAAGTTAAAAAAAAAAAGCTGCAATTCAACCACTTTGGGCACATGTTTTCAGGACCTCTTGTGACTGTGTCTTGTGCCCATATCCCTCATATTTAGCTTAGAATAAACCTCTTTTTTTAGTGTTTGGCTTTTTCATCAGTACTATGATATTTCATTTGCTTTTTTTGATAATGATGAGAAAGCAAGGAATGAGTAATGTAAAATATGAAAATTATTCTATTAGTAAACAATTGAGGTCTAAGAAGAAATTATGGTCCTTAAAGTTGTATCTCAGTGTTAACTCATCAACTAGCTCTAGTTATATAAACCTATTATGTCAACTCATCAACTAACTCTAGTTATCTAAGCCCATCATTTTATGTAATCAGAGGAGAGTGAGATACTCATTGTGAATCATGGTTATATATACTTAAATGTCAAACATCTCTTTTGGCACATCAATTTTTGAACATTGTATACTCTTGGACTGCAACTGCATTGGCAGTTTGTGATGAATAGTTGAATGTACCTTGGAAAGAGTCAACTGATGTATCCATCACTACATTTCAACCTTTAGTTAATTGGTTGCTATAGCAGCTTCAACATACAGCTTACTGATATGGCTTTTAGAGCCTGGAATTTTCTTTCCCCAAGTGTCAATTACTTTAAAAATTATAAACCTTCTTATTTCACATAAATAGTTAAAAGTAAAATAGAAGAAGAAATAAATGAAACTTGGGTCAGGAAAAATATAACTAAAAACAGAAGGTCAAAACCAGGAGAATTAGAGGACAGACATTGAGACCTGAGCCACTAATTTGTTTCTGAACTTCCAGACAGCCAAATCAAATAGGAAAATGCTATCAACTAGAGGTGCTTCTCTAGTCACTCAGAGGAAAAAACCTTTTCCTGTACCTTGATTCTGAATGAAATTTTTCACCAAAGATTTCCTATAGGAGTCACTGAATAAGGTAGTGGGCATGATATTCCTTCAGAAAATAATACACCAGGTTATTATCATATGATGAAAGTTTCACCTCCACTGATATGTTGTGGAGAAATTTTTACCAAAAAGTTGAGAACTTTTTACCAAAATACTTATCAGTAGAAGAAATTCAATAATGAGCCTAAGAAAAGAGAGTTCAGTATGTAGCTTTCTTATGGCATGGTTTAGCCTAAGAATAATAGCTATAATACTTATGATGAATGGGGGTATTCTGCACATTAGGTATTTTCTAAACTATCCCCACAAGCATCACTTTCCTCAGCAGGGCCTTTGCTAAGAGCCAGGAGGAAGAAAGTATGAGGCTCTATTCTTTGGAAAGGGCTGATGATTTACAGATGCTTGAGAGAAGTAGTCAATGTATTCTACCATAAAAGCCTAGCTATTTTCACTGAGACAGTTATAAAATGCAGAATTTCATGTTATTATATCTATCCTTATCTGCTGTACCTTTTCTTTTGAGTGCAGTTTCACTCTTCTTCCCTTTTCCTTCCTGAAGAGATTCTCGCTTACCATGCTGGATTTCTAAACAAAATTCAACACACAAAAATAATTGATGATTTACTTCAATAGCCTGGGCTATATGATTTGTAAGCAATCAAATGTTATTTCTCACAGGTAAATCCTTAATTTGTGAATGGTATAAAATGGCTCAGTTCTTAACTGTGAGTTAAAATTAATCTGAAAACAGACTATAGATAGAAACTTCTTGAATAATAGCCCTAATAGCAGCACTATTCTGTCATGCTGAGAAATTTAGCCCTAACTTTAATGTTCACATTTGGTAATGGATGTGAACATAAACTCTTTTGTGGAAACAGCTGTGGAGTTTTTAAAGCTAATCACAAGTCCACTTGAAGCATATGGCTCTGTTTGGATTTATTTCAACAGAATAGTTCTTATATAACAAGACAAGTGAATGTGTTATTTAAAAAAAAAAATACGCCAAAATGAACGCAATGGCATGCTCTTGAAGTCCCAGCTATTTCAGGAGGGTGAGGCAGGAGAACTGCTTGAACCCATTAGTTTGAGTCCTGTATGGCAACATAGCAAGACTTTATCTCAATCAATCAATCAATCAAGTGCCAAAACACTTTAAAGAATTGTTAAATAACTACAATTGTTTTGATATGGTGCATCCCTGAACTTCTCTTAACCACTCACCTGGCTGTGATTTCTACATTTCCATTTTGCATTGACTATAATTTGAATTGCCAGTGATGGTTGGAGTATATTTATTTTGGATTGCCTGAAATCTAGTTAAAAAATATATTGGAAGGGTAAAATTGGGAAACTAATGATCTGGAGATCAATAAGATGCCCCACATAACACATTGGTTCCTTGAAAAAATTGACTACATCCTGCATTATTCACCAAACAAGTTCAATCATTTTTCTCCCTTGGTCCTTGGCTATAGTTTTGTTTCCTTTACTGAAAAGATGAATAAGTATGACAATTTAAATGCCTATGATAGAGACCCCATCTGATCTATCTTTTTGTATTTAGAAGTGATAGTTATAAGAATGTGTAAGTTGATAGCACATCTCACTTACATGAAATGTCTCAGATCCATAGAAATAAGACAACTGAATGACATGGAGGGATTATCCTTGAAACTCTGTTATGCTCTCTAAAAGGGCATTTAAACATCCAAATAGTTGATCACCAAACTCAAAAGAAAGAAGGAAAGCTTACTAATAAAAAAAGTATTCATAAGTTTCTTTAACAAAAATACCTTGGGTAACCAAATACTTAATTAACTCTAAGTTTTAGTACAAGTGACAAAGAAAATAAAGTAAAAGACACAGGTCTTATAAAGCATTGTGGGCAAGTGTCATTTCTACTGAGAGTAGTATGCACTCTGCCCATTTATTATTAGCTCCAAAATATAATCTGAATCACAAAAAATATTATTTTATAATAGTATGAGTACTACTAGTCTATTGTGCCATACTGAGAACTCTAGTTTTAAATTAAATACTGACATTTGGTAGTAAACTTGATATAGACTCTTCAATGGAGCATAACTGTAAAGCTTTTACATTTAATCTCAAGTGTAATTAAAGTATATATAAAGTATATATAAAAGGCAGAACTACATAAAACAGAATTATTTCTGTACAAAATGACTATTAGGACTCAGTGTGCTATGCCTCCTCTATCACATTTCTACCTTGATTTTTTGTTTTGTTCTGTTTTTTAGTAAAAAATTCCTCTTTTCATCTCAACTTCTACAGAAGATTGTAATTGGATGTTTGAGTTGGGCATATTCAAAAGTCTTGGTTCTGAAATGCTCTCTTTTGAAAAAATGTAAATTATTTACTACTAATAATTAAAAAAAAACTTTGGTGTATGTTTCTTCCTAAAATCACTTAACCAAGCTTCCTTGAGCTGCAGAGCAATGCTGTCTGCTCTACTGTCTCATCAACATTCATTGCACAGAGATTTCCTGCTAGTATGGCATTGTTGTTGTACTGCAGTAATTAGGTTTCTGGAGATTAACCCTTCTATACCTTTTTAAAGATCAGGCAATAACCCTGTCCTATGTGGAAAAAAGAGACTGGTACAACCACTCTTTGAAGCAACAATAGATTTATTATTACTCCAATATACAGTATTTAAGAATACAATTTTAAAACAGCAAACAAACTTCAGAAACTTAAAGACTTAACTATGTTATAATAAAAAACACTAGAGATTGGTTTCAGGGAATGGCTCAAATACATTGATACTCCTCATTGTGCACAAGCCAAGAAAGGGAAAGAGGTAAGTAGAGCCATAGCCATAGGTTAAAGGAACTTGGTGGATAACTTCAGGCTCACTTGAACCACTGTGAAAACGGCCTTCCCCAGTTCTAAAAAGCATTTTAAAGATTTCTGCTTTTCCTCCAGACCTCTGAATTGTTTTTTAATTCCCAATATTGTAGTTTATTTGTTTAATAGGAATGCATTTAATTTTTAAAAACATTCAGACCCATTTCAAATCTCCATGAAGCAGAATGACTAGAATTTTAGAACTAGCCATGACACAATATCAAAAGATACAGAGATAGATTTGTGTAACTTCACAGCTGGCCATTTATAAAGCTGAAATCAGAAACTAGAGCCATATTTGTTTCATATACACCCACCAAATGTATACTAACATTTTGTCAATATCATGCATTACAACAATTGAGCACTTTATTTTAGTCAATATATTCATTGTCTACAACTTAATGCTCGACTCATGTTGCTTAGTGGTAAAGGATCTAGAAAAAAATCAAACTAAAAAACATTTTCTACGCAGGTTCTATATATATTCATAAATACGAGGGAGAACCAGAGTTATCTTTTGGAGGGCAGGTTCCTGGTAGTACACTCAGAATTTGTACCTCAGGATCAAACAGTCAACCAAAGTTTTTATCTGAAAGTTTCAGGAGATTATGTCACTAAGAAGCATCCCAAGTTGTGACAAACAGGTGCTGGTTCCTCCACCATGCAGTACACCTGCCCACACCACGCTGAGAGTTCAGCAGTTTCTGAACAAAAATTGCATGGCCTCCATGCCCCACCTCGAGTGACTTTTTGTTGTTTCCCTGGATGAAAAATGTTCTCAAAGGGAAACACTTTGCCAATGTGGAAGAGATGAAACAAAAAACCGCAGAAGCACTCAGGCATCAAAACTGATGAGTTCAAAAACTGTTTAGAGCAGTGCAATACATCTCGATAGGTGGTGTATTGCATCAGATGGACAGTACTTTTAAGGTGACTGAAGTTTAAACAGGAAAGAATAAATAATTGTTTATAAGTAAATCCCATTTTAGGGGGTCCCCCCATATAGGCTTACTGAGATGTCAAGTGCTTGTTTTTATCCTTTTATAATCACACAGTCCTGAAGATTTATAGTTATAGACAAATTCTAGTCTCTAGTGAATTCTGTTGATTTATTTCTTTATTCTTGTGGAAACCTGGCTATGCTAATTCTTATTTTATTAATATGCTTTTACTTTTTACATAAATGTAGCTCTACAGTTCAGCAAATAGACATCTGTTCTCTTGATATGCCCTAAGTTACTTCTTGAATATTTTGTGCCTTTTAAGCTCTTCTCACCTATGGACTTATTCTAATCAGTAGACCTAAGTGTAATAAAACCATATTCTTTCCTACACAGTGAAGAATCCAGGATCTGTAACAACTATGCTCTTAGCCACTGACATGACTTTTCTACTTCCAACTGAATATAGAGATTTAAATTGCCCAAAGATCAAATCTAGATAAATGTACCATGATGTATAATTTTTTACTAAGTAAAAACATATATATATATTTTAAAAACCTGGCAAACAGGATTATAAATCATTTTGTCAATCACCTGATTGTGATTTTCTTTTTGCAATAGGAGGTTTTGAAGGTTCACGCTGAGGATGAATTTCCTTCTCTTTTTCTGGTTCAGGAGGAGGAGGGGGAGGAGGAGTAGGAGGTGGAAGCTCAGCCAGGGAAGCTGCTGCTTTTTTCTCAGCTTCATTTTCTTCTAATTTTGTTTCAACTTCAAAGGAATGGTAAGAATGGACCTTTATTAGAGACACCTACTATTTCACTTGAACTAAGATAAACCTAAATTAATATAAAATTTCAATTATTGATTTAGGCTAATTCATGTTTTAGGGGTCTCTCTTAAACCATCTAGTTCTTAAAGCTTTCTTTGCCTGGTCAGAAATATTATTTTTCTTTTCTCTTTTTTTTTTGAGTTGGAATCTCACTCTGTCACCCAGACTGGAGTGCAGTGGCTGCTCCAGGCCACCGTAGCCTTGACTTGCTGAGCTCCGGTGATTCTTCCGCCTCAGCCTTCCGAGTAGCCGGAATTATAGGCATGTGCTACCACGACCGACTGATTTTCTGATTTATTGTAGAGATGAGGTCTCGCCAAGTTGCCTAGGTGGGTCTCGAACCCGCAGGCTCAGGCAATCCACTCACCTCAGCCTCCCAAGGTGCGGGATTACAGGCTGAGCCACCGAGCCCGGCTTATTTTTCTTTTCTCTTAATGGAGGTGGTTGTGATGGTGGTGATGGTGGTGAGGGTGGTATTGGTGCTGGTTGTGCTGATGTTAATGGTCATGGTGGTGGTGATGATGGTGGTAATGATGATGGTGGTAGTGTTGATGTTGGTGGTGGAGGTAATAATAATGGTACTGGTGGTGGTGATGTTGATGCTGATGGTGGTGGTGGTGATGGTGGTATTGATGGTGGTAGTGGTGGTGGTGGTAGTGATGATGGTGATGGTGAGAAGGTGGTGGTGATGATGATGGTAGTGGTGATGGTGGCAGTGGTGATGGTGATGATGTGATAGTGGTGGTGGTAATGGTGATGGTGGTAATGGTGATGATGGTGATGGTGGTGGTGGCAGTGGTGATGATGGTACTGGTGGTGGTGATGATGGTGGTGAAATGATTTTGGTAGTTATGATGGTGGTGTTGGTGATGGTGTTTGTGATGGTGGTTGTGGTGGTGAGGAGTTGGTGGTGATGATGGTGGAGTGATGATGTAGTGGTGGAGGTGATGGTGGTGGTGTTGGTGGTGGTGGGGGTGGTAAAGAAGAGGTAGTGATAATATCAGTGATGGTGGTCATAGTGATGGTGATGGTAGTGAGGAGGTTGTGATGATGGTGGTGGAGATGGTGATGGTAGTAGTGTTGATGACGGGGACTATGTGTTTATTTGTACATATGGAGCAGGTATAAAGGCTTGATAAGTGGGTGCCAAATGTAAAAGTAATAATCTAGAAGTAGCTAATAAATATTAATAGAAAATAAAAGATCATTTCAAAATTTCCAATAGAAAAGCAAGATGAAAAAGGCATAAAGAGAAGGCAAAGAGCAATGTGATCAAAGAGGTAGGAGTGAGGGAGAAGTGGAAGAGGAAAGAAATGTACAGCACTAACTTAAATTAATACACCTATATACAAAGCACTTAGAACAGTGCATAGTACATATGTCCTCAATTAAGCCTTAGCAATTCATTCATCCATGCAGCAACTATTTATTGAACTTTAATTGTGCCTTGAAGGAAAGGGCTATAACAATTAAGTAAAACTACCTCTACAACAACTACTAATACGAACAACACTAGGCATGGTTCTGGTTGCTGGAGATATAACAGCAAAACAAAACAAAGAAAAATCGATGGCCTTACAAGCTTACATTCTAGTGGTAGGAAACAAACCATAATATGATGAATAAGTTAGTTTATACAATTAGAAGGTGGTAAGTGCTATGGAAAAAAGAAATAGAACAGATAAGGGAGATCAGAAGTGCTGTGGGCAGCATTTTAAGTTTATATAGAGTGCTAACCTTGGTAGGCCCACCCCTAAGGTGACATCTGAGCAAAGACGTGAAGAAAGCCAGGGAGAGACCCTGTGACCACTTGATGGAAGAGTGTTCCAGGCAGAGGAGACAGTCTGAGTCCCTAATGGATACACTGTGGCTGACTGAAGTCTTTCAGGTTCCCATCACTGTGAAGACTCTTTGCCTTTAATGGTGCAGTTCCACCCATCATGGAACACCCTCCCTGACAACCAAGTCTTTCTGGTCCTTCACACTGCAGATGCCCAAAGCTTTATTGATCATATCACTGGCAATGAGTGCCTGCACTCTTGCATGACTATTTCACTTTACATGTGCTTTTTTTGACCTTAGATTATTCTTTTCAATTCAGCAAGCTAGGAGGCTCCATTCTATTAGATGTTCTTTAAAAATGGAACAGATTTCTATTTCTATTTCTGATTATAAAAATAATACATAGTTATTGTTTTTAAAATCCAAGAATCAAGACAAATTTTTAGAAAGGGGAATTGTCTGTTAAATCTCTTTAAGTAGTTTCTCCTTTTCCTACTATCAAGTACTATACAGGTTGCCAGACTCTTTTTTTGTGTACATATATTATATATATGTATATAATATATATATAAACCAATGTATAAACCAATAATATGTGCCCATTAACTTTTCATAATATTATTGGAACTTATTATTGAAAGAGACCTTAAGTTCTGTTCTATGCCAGATTTCCACTGGGATTTATACAGGCTGTATTGTATTATTATTTCCACTGTATTATACAGGCTACCAGACTTTTTTCTGGGTATATATGTATTTATAAACCAATAATATGTGCCCATTAACTTTCATAATACTATTGGAATATTATATATACACACACATGCATACACACATAAAACATGCCTTTTTAAAGGGATTATTTTATATATAACTTGTTTTTTTCCTACCTAACAGTATATGAGTATTATGGTAATTTTTAAAATGTCAGAATCATGTCCTTTTATTTTTAACACAGGATGTTTAAATACAGAGTGCTGGGCTAGATAAGTGTTTATTGTTTTAATGATTAAATATTGTTAAAGCAGTGAACTGAAGTATAAGTCTTAAATAAGTGATAGTTGAATCTATTAAGGCAGCCAATCATTAGAAAGCAAATATTTAGGAAAATGTTGAAGATAAGTCTGATAGCTAGCCAAAACAGATTCCAACCTGCAGCTTCAAAACTTTACAATTTAGAATCAGTTTGCTTTTGCCTCCTCTAACTAAGACTCTGTAAGATTACTGTGAAAGGTTTCTCCCTCTTCTAAGTCTACTTTCTGTCAAATTACTCATTAAGCCTCTTAAAATACTATACAATTGGTTTTTGTTTTGTCTGAAGTCTTCATATTGGTGCTTTTTCTTGAGTGACATTTGAATGTAGGAACTTGTCTTTCTAAGTATGAGCTCCTGGATTCCCATGGGGGCTGTGGTTTCTACCTATGGGCCATTTTAATGTTAGTTAACTGATGCATTATGGTAGTTAGATCATATATTTAGTGATAGGAGACAATGTGCTATCAAAGCAATTTTAGAATCCTTCTGATATTAATCACTTTGACTATCTTTTATTATACCAAGAAACTACAGTTGCTAATATAATTAGGGACTATTGATAAGCAAAAAAGAAAGATTTCTTTCTCAAATTACTTCTCAAAAGTAAAATCCCAGTGGAAATCTGGCGGAGAACTGAGCTTAAGATCTCTTTCAATAATTAGCTCCAATAATATTATGAAAAGTTAATGAGCACGTATTATTGACTGAATAAAGGAGGAAGAGGATTTGGATGTTTAGTATGAGTAAGAAGCAAGCTAATAAGTAAGTAATTGGTAAGCAATACATTCATACCAAAATAGTTAGATCTGGAGAAAGTGAATTATCTAGTGTTTTTATCCTAAAAGGGAAATTCACACACTGTTTCCTTATAATGCTGAAGTTAATAAACTAAAGTCTTTATCTTCCTCTATAACATCCTTAATTTTTCCTGATTTCTTTAAAATATTGAATTGACAAATAAAGACTATATATATATTTGGAGTATATAATGTGACTAATATCCTTAATTTTAACTCTACTATTTGCTGTTTACATGAAAGCAGTGATTTCAGTGAGATGACCTCTTTTTGATTAAGTTAAAGAGAACAATCTTTTTTTCAGAAACTTATACAACAGAAAGCTAAAGTCAGAGGCAGAACACATGTGTAGATAGTATGATCCAAATACAAGAGATAACTTTGCAATTATACTTTGATTTCATTCTAAACTCATGAAAAACCACATTTTAGTTATACAAAGCTAAAAATGAAGAAATATAATTACCTTTGTTCTTTTTTTTCATTATTTCAGCTGCAAAAATGTCTTTTACTTTTCGGTATAAAAACTCTTTATCTATTTCAGCATTGATTTTTATTAAAATGTTTTCTGGTTCTGAAAACCATTGCTCCAATGAAGGCCAGTTGTCCAAGAAACCTACAATCCTGTAGAATCAAAATATTATATGCATATCTCATATCAATTAAAAAATTTGAGTGACATAAAGCATAATTAATCTGGCATGCATAATGAAAAAATAGGCTGCCAATATAGTTAAATCTGAAAAAGAAATTATAGGAATCTATAGGCAATGAAATATTATTTACAATAGATTAAGGAATACATTATTTAATGCCATCAGGACATTCTTTTAGATGCATGACAGAATAAAAGAAAAGAAAATGCCACCAATTCAAGAAAACGTTAGTATAAGTCAGAATCTAAGGAAATATCATTTGCACTCCACTAGAATAACTCTGAGCATTCTCAGAGTTCACATAGGTCATCTATTTTTTTCTTAAACATAGAAATTGAAGAGACTTTGAGAAGAGATTTTTGGTTCAGACTTATTTGCGTTACTTACAAGTATTCTTGGAATGATTCTTGAAACTTTTTTCTCTTTCTGGAGCATAGACAACCTTAACGCAACTGAAATTACTTCCCTGACTCACTTCATATTGTCAGATTTCTCAGGGTTTTATAAAATTGTCTAATTATATCTAATTTTTTCCAATGATAAACTGCACACAAACAAAAGAATGCAAAATAATTTTGTTTTAGCAAAACAGAAGTAGTTTGCAGCCTGTAGTCTGATGCCTAGCTCACTGAAATTCCATAACTTTCATTGGTATTGCCTTAATGAGGGCTGAATTAGAATTCCATATAATTAACCTATAAATTCACGCAACCATAAAGGGAATTGTTAACTGACTTAATTCTTCTTTCTTCAAACCATAATGACTTATGCTCTGAATATGAAAACCAGAACATAAATATTTCACTCATCACCAAAACTACTTAGTTTTACCTGTGAAAGACCGGGTGCTAGGAAATATATCTTTTTTTTTTTTTTAGATATGATCATTCCAAAGTGGTTAATTGACATTATGTTCAAAGAGTAAGCAAAGAGCAGGGAATTTATTTAAAAACTAACCTGTGTTGTATCTGGTCTCTTAAATTCTGATCCGTATCCTTATCATGGTTTCCAGCAGCTACACGTTGATCAATATGCTCATGAGCAATTTCACATGAAAATTCTTGAGCTACAGTAGGAAAATTCTGAATTAGAAACTTTGTTTTCAATTTCTTTTTTTTTCTTTTCTTATTTTAAAGATGTGGGGTACAATCAGGGGTAGGTATACAAGTGGTCGTCATACAGACAAAGTTTGGGCCTGTCTTTGGTCCCCACCTTGTCTGGTTTGAGATCAGGTACCCTTATTGATATTGTGTCCCCTGCTTCCCTCCTCTGGCAGTTTCTGTCTACTGCCAATCCCTTTCTTATAGTATTATGGTAATGTTCAGGGTCCGCCTATGAGTGAGAATATGTGGTACTCAGTTCTTTGTTTCTGTGATAGATCACTGAGTATTATAGACTCAAAATCCATTCAAGTTGCTGTGAAGTCCATACGCTTGTCCTTTATGGCTGCATAATATTCCATAGTATATATGTACCACATTTAAAAAAAATCCAGTCTAGTTTCAATGGGCAGCACAGTTGGTTCCATGTTTTTGCTATTGTGAATAGTACTGCAATAAACGTGCGTGTTCAGGTATCTCTTCTGTAGAATTATTTGAGTTCCTCCAGGTATACTCTCAGGAGGGGAATTGCTGGGTCATATGGAAGGTCAATTTCTAATTCTTTTAGAAATTGCCACATTATTTTCCATGGAGGTTAAACTTATTCTCAATTAAATAATTTTCAAAACTAGACAAAGTTGCCACTTACTGCTCAAATATATTGAAGCAAGATGTCAAACAAATATGGTCTCACATCACATTCAAAATTACTTAAAAATGTTTAAAAAGCTTTTGACAGAGTATCATTTTGGGAATGAGAATTCAAATTTTTCTTAAAAATTGAGGAAAGTGAGGTAAAACACATTAAACAAAAACTGTAATTTGAATGGAGAGGATCTCAGGATTGACTATGAAGAGATAAGAATAAAAAATGATGGTTCATCATGGATAAGTGACTTGGAAAAAATAGAAAAATTAACACCAGTGTTGTAAAAATTAACAATGACATAACAAGATGGCCATAGCATCAAATACGCATAAATTATTTGTTTATTATATTACAATAAATTATTACACTTCTTTCTCAACTTTATATTCTTCCTGTAGAATAGATGTAAAGGAATAAAGACCCAAAGAGATGAAAAACAGACATCAAAACAATCTCAAAACTCTGATTGGATCCTATTCAAGATTAATGGTACAAAGTCCAGAATACTCATAAATTTAGAATTTAAAAAAAGGAAATAAAGCTCTGAACTAGATGAAAAGAAATTAGAATTAATCAATACAAGAGAACATTGAAGAGTGAATTAATAGAGTTCAAAAAAATGAAAGGCCCTCACAGGATATAATATAATCTAGTGTTCTATCTACATTCATAATAGAACAAGATGAAATGAATTTAGAATACAAAATAATGATTTTATGTTATTTATAAAACCCAGGGATTACTGACATCAGAAAGAGTGACTGAAGAAAATTGTGGGAGTTCTTCTTGGGATGCTATCACTCATCATCTCATGGTCACTAAGTCACATCTGTCAGCACTTGGATTCACATTTCTCTCTCCAGCTCCCACTTAGACAGTGGCCCCTTCCCCTTCTTTCCATTTGTGGCCTTCATTTCTATGACCACTGGATTTTGTGATCACCCTGAATGACTCCATCTTTACAATCTTAAAGAGCTATACTCCTACCACAAACTCTCATCTTTCTAGCCCTCCTGTGTAGCCGATTAATGTCTTTAAACATCATCTAGTTCCTAAATTCCTATATCCTTTTTTCCAAATTTACCAGCATTATCCTGACTTCATTTTATATTTTTCTAGCAAATCTAAGTTGCATAGCTGAACACTTCAAGTTCTCTCGCCTCTTAACAACTTCAATTTCTGTCTTCTTCTGCTATACCAGCCTTAAAAATTATATCTTTTTTGCTTCATGACATTCGTGAATAAAAATATACCACCTTTATTCTCTGGCTCAAAAATCAGCTGAGCACTTTCATATATATAGATACTTTCCTAAAATAGAGAGACAGAAATAAAAATGTAACAAATACTCTGTCACCATGACTCTGTTCCTTCTATTGGAGATAAGCTTCTTGCAAGTTATCCCACTCATTCTCCATCTCCACACATCCTATTCACACCTCAACCCACTGCAATGCATCCTTTTCCTTCCCCCACTCCACTGAAACAGTTCTCATTCTAGTCACCAAAAATGCCAAAGCCAACAGACATGTTCAAATCTTTATCTTACTTTATTTCTCTGTAGTACATACAGGTAAAATTTAAAACACATTCTTAAATGCATTGACATATATTATATGTAAATGATACATGTAATTTATATTATATATATTACATTTTGTATTAAAAAAATTGTGAAGTAGAATTGTGATTCTATAATTGACCTCATTTTTCACAGTTTATAAATAGTAATGAAGGAATTTTATTCTAACCAATCTGACTCCAGCTTCTGGGCTTCTTTTTAATTTGTATGCTCTTTAATGACTTTGCTGAAAAAAATGTATACAAAAATACACAGATTGATGAATTTACACTACTGAAAAAATGCATACAAAAATACACAGATTGATGAATTTACAAACTGAAAACAGTCAGCACCCAGATCAAGAAATAAACATGATCAGTCCTGGAAGCTCCCTCATGTTCCTTTTTCAGTTGCCATTAGCCACAAAAGGTCAGTATCCAGAACTTGAACTCAAAACTCTTCCATACCTCTCACCATGTTAGGGACATCACTGCTCTGTCTCAAGCTGACTGGTGGCTAAACAGCTGAGGAAAACACCTACTCTTCCATTCTGATGTAGCCTTTTATTCCCACAATGGCTAGTGCCTCGTGAAAACTTTTGCTAATTGATTTCCTTCCATTATTTGAAACACACAACAACATATGCTTCATAAGGAGCCAAGAAGATGGGCAAACCTTCTGAGGTGGGCAAACCTTTAGCTTTTAGGTACCTTCTCACAAAAAGATCTGTGTGTGTATTTTATAGCAACCTCAAGTCTTGATGTTGAATCTTGATGTTCAGGACCCTGTTCTGCCACCAAACGGTCATGGATTAGCAACATAATTAGCCAATTCTCAGCTTTACCCTAAACAGTAGTGGGAAATTAGCTGAACAAGCAGACTCATCACTACTGTCAGCATGGCTCCTACTCCCTTGTATGGAGAGAAGTAAATTCTCCAACTTGTGATACGATGCACAGTATCCAATTTGAAATGCTGAAGTAATACCTCAGCTGAATGAATACCTAATGGTTTTGTCATTTTATTTAAGTAAACAAGTAAAGCAAGATCTCAGAATTGCACAAACTCAAAATAAAGATGAGTGTAACATTGGACAAGTTAAGAACTCATGCTTTAAATTTCCATCTATAAATAAAGGCATTTGACTAGATGATCCCTCAGGTCACTCCTAGGTCTGGCTGTTGTATTAGTAGTAACAGCAATAATAAAAGAAGGATACCTATTATCATTTGTTAAAAGATCGTTTTTTTAAAGCTAAAATCAATCTAATGTAAAATGAACATGTGTCAAAGATATCATTTAACTCTTCAATTAATAAGGAAGCCAATAAGATGCTGCAACTAGTTCAAATGAGAATCTGCATAATAGACACATTTATAGGCAATGAGGAATGCTGAAATTGACATTAATAGATGAAAAACTGGTTACTCTATTGAGCAATATAATATTTGGACTCATATACAGTGTGGAAATTGTGTTTCAATAGAAAAAATTAATTTGCATTTCTATAAACAAGAATCATTTCCATTACTATCAATTTCCAACAATTTATGGAGTTAATAGAATTGAGTCAAGTCAATGAAAGGCACAGATCCCTATAAAATCATATAGGGATCCAATAGGCAATACTTGGGTTTCTAGTAAAAAGATATCCAGTAATCTTTTGTTCATTTCAAAATCTTCAAAAATTTTTTCTGATGTATTCACTACATGTTTATTATCATATGCCAGATGCTATCCTAAGTGTTTATCTTTTATCTCATTTAATACCTACAATAGTACTGAGCCATTCTATCATATGGGGTATGAAACTAATATTTAGAACAATAGGTTCTCAGGGGAAAATGGCGGCCGAGCCAGTCAGACTATGCAAGTCCCCCGTGTGAGTGAGTGAGTGTATGGAAAATTTTATGTATGTGCTGGTGAGCGAGTGGGCGTGTGAGTGGCTGACTGAGTGTGGGCTAGGGAGCTAGCAGCCAGGGCTCTCCTGGTACAGTGGCTGGTGCCACAGTGTCTGGGCTTGGACTCTAGCGATTCCTAGGATGCAGAAGTCGAGTGCTTCCCCTCCCCTCCTTTCCCCTTCCCTCCCCTCCTCTCTCCCAACAAACCCTCCCTGGCAAGAAAACGCTAGGAGAGACTAAGTGGGCAGGTGAGCAGGTGAGCAGGTGGCTAGGCCCCTGAGCACCATTGTTTTCTTCAAATGGACAGAAGTTTTCCTTTGGAAAAGCCCAGGTGCTCCCTCACCATTGAAGCAGAAGACAGACTGCTCCAGGCTTTGCCTCATCACTTCAGCACCTTGCAGGGCACTGGAAGAGGCTGCGGTCAGTATCCAGAGGCAAGTTCCCATGGAAGAGGACAAGAGAGGCACCATACCACCATATTGAAGGTGGTACAGGAAAGTGCTCTGACTTGCTCACCATGGACCAGCAGATCGATCTCTGTGACTGGCAGATCAACTACTCGGGGGTTGATGGTGGCCCAAAGGGAATATCCTAAGAGCACAAACTTTAAAGGGACCTGATGAGTGCTGAGTTCCAGGCACCCCACCCTCTACCCTTATCCAGTGATGGGACAAAGGGTGTGGCCAGAAAAGGAGGAGGAAAAACTCCAAAGAGATCAGTGATGAGTCTGGGGCTGACCCAAGCCCCCTCCCCAGCAATCCTCTGAACATCAGGCCCACACAGTTGGGCCACGATTAAGAGGGACAAACCCAGGTGGAGCCTGGACATCAGTTGCAACAGGAGAGCTCCATT